TCCTCCTCCTCCTCCTCCCCTCCTCCTCTCCTCCTCCTCCCTCCCTCCCTCCCTCCCTCCCCTCCCTCCCTCCCTCTCCCTCCCTCCCTCCCCCCCCCCCTCCCTCCCTCCTCTCCTCCTCCTCCTCCTCCTCCTCCTCCTCCTCCTCCTCCTCCTCCTCCTCCTCTTCTTACAGGAGGAGTAGCCAAACATAGTCAAAATAAAAGTCGGGGGACGATTTTCTGCCTACTGCTGACTAGTGTTTGATCTTTTGTGACACTTTCTTTTTCTATTCTCCGTCCAAAGTCCGGCTGCAGGGGGGACCTGCCCGACCCAACTCCAGCGCCCCGAGAAGGGCAGGGGCCAAGGCGGCCCCAGGTGCGGGCCCCCAGAGGCCCTCTCCTGGCCCTGGGAGCCCACAGGAAGCAGCCCGCTGCGCGACATCCATACAAAGGTCTGGGCCTCCCAGATGTCGGGGGCGGCAAAGAGGGGGGTGATGGCTAGGGGGGGGATATCATGGCGGGGGCCATGATATCTCCCCAGATCTCATGGCGCCTCTTCACGTTTCAATGCGTCCCCCCGCCCCCCCCCCCCTGGTCCGCGCTCGTGCCGCCGGCCATGATTTGCGCCCCCCCCGTTTTGGACGGCCCCCTCTTGGCCGCCCCCGAAGATGGAGTCGGAGCAGAAGGGGGTCGGAGGATCGCGCGGCGTTGCCGATGCGTCTGCGACGCGTCGCCGATGTGGGGCATACTCTCCTCCACGCCGACCGCGCCCAATGCGTCGCAGATGTCGCCGATGCGCCGCAGATGCGTCGCCGATGCGGCGGCGGTGCGGCGCGATCCTCCGACCCCAGCTGCTCGGACCCCGCCTGCGGGGCCTCCAGGATGCTGAGGCCGAGAGGCCGGGGGCCCCGCCGGGCGAGCCGGGAGCGCGGCGGGTCTGGGCGCCCGGCGTGCGGTGCCGCGCCCGCGCCGTGCTTTCCGTGGGGCACCCAGCGGCGCGCGGCACCGCCCGCGGGTCCCCGGACGCTCGCTTCCGATCTCCGTGCGGAGGGCCTCCGTCTGAGCTTCGAGGCACTTTAGCTGTCCTGATAATTACTCGGGCCGGACGAAAGGGGGGATTGGGAAAGGGGGGGGGGGGCACGAAATTTGCTGCACGTGGCCGCCTCTGGCGCCAGGAGGCGCCGGGAAAATCAGCAACGTGAGCTGATTCTCAAGCCCCCCGTTGCTGTCCCCCCCTTTCGCCCGACCCGAGATACGCATGTGCTGACGCGCAACACGTACCGTGTTCAGCACGTCTCACGCACGTGTTCAGTCATTGTAACATGTTCAGCTCCGTGTGGACAAGCTACGGGCTGCCTGTGGCGCATCGGGGAAGCCAAGTGTAAGTCGGGCATGTCCCTCCACAGGAGGAGTATGCCACAACAGTTACAAAAAACCGTCAGGGGACGATTTTTCAATATATTGACTATTTTTTTTTTTGGGGGGGGGGGGGCTACGTTTAATGTTCTTCCAACATCCGCCTGTAGGACATGCCCGACTTAAAGCTATGTCGAGGCAGCTTCCACGGAATCGATGGAGACCTCGGACGACGGCCCACCTCCCCACGAGACGAGAAGGGGTCTTGGCGGAAAGGTGGGGTCCTAAAGGCATTTCGCCGTGCCGCGCATGCCGCATGCCCACGTCGGCGAGAGAGGGGGGGAAGTGAGAAGGAGAAGGCCTTCTCAGAAGCCCTCGCGCCTTCTGAGAGTTGTTCTATGTCTTCGGGGAAGGCTCAGAAAACTTGTCAGAAGGCGGGGGGACTTTCGAGCCTTCTGAGAAGGCCTTCTCCTTCTCACTTCCCCCCCTCGCTCGCCGCCAACCACCATCGACGGTGCCTTTTACCCCACACGCCCATACGCAATTTTGCCATCCGCCAGCAGCGACACCGTGTGAGGCGAATGCCAAGCAAAATCATTACTATGGTGTCGTCCGTTGAGGAATGTGCCCAGGAGGCGTCAGACCCTAGAGGATTCCTTATCTGATGGGGGCCGCGGTAATACCCATGGCCAAATCTCAATTGGCGTTCAACTGGCTTCCAGACCCTAGAATCCTTGCCCAATGGTCCCTCCTCCAATGCCATCACCAGGCCGGGGACTCTGGCATCAGTAGCGCTGACTCCCCCGTCGTTTTCTGGAGCCAGACTGTTAAGCTGACGTGGATCGATGACACTACCATCAGACCCCGCTCCCCGCGCTTTAGATCGGGCCGCCCGGCGTCGCCAGCCTGTCCGCAGTGGTGTGCTCTCACGGCCCCGACGTCGAGGCTCGCGTTCTGTCTCTCTGCAAAGCTCAGGAGGGGAGCAGAAACGCACAGACACAACTCATCGTCGACTCCCAGGAAAATGTGAGAACATATGGGAAGTGGGGGGAACATGAAGATACAGAAAGTATGGGAACATATGGGGAATCCTGCTATTTGTATGTATTTCTGCGTGTGTGTCCTTGGGCCCCTGTGCAAAGCGCCGTGCTCCGCGCCCCTCCACACACAAAAAATAACAAAACAACGGGTACCGCCAGCTGTACCCAGGACGTCTCGGGCTCCGCTCCCCGGCCGATGGGCTGCGCTGCGTCGGACACGCTGTGCGATCCTCCGAGACCCAGACTCTTTCGTTTTGCACCCCTATCGTCGTCTTCCAGCGACGAGCGTGACGACGATGAGCGACGAGAGGGAGGACCAGGACGAGGACCCAGAAGGGGACGAGGAGCACATCGGGAAGCCGGCCAGGACGAGGAGCAGGAGCAGCAGCAGCAGCAGCAGCAGCGCCCAGCAGGCACGATGCGGACGGGTGCCCTGTGCCTCCGAGAGGCCCCCGCGCGGAGCCCATGGGGGCTCGGCCTCCCGCCGGGATCTCCCCCCCCTGCGTCGAGGACAACATTCGACTATACGTAAGAGTGACCTTTCGCCGGAGTGACCTTCGGTGCGGGCCCAGTGGGGTCCTCCGATCGCCCAATGCGATGCGATGGTGGCGTCCTGCGCGCCTGGGTTTTGTCCCCCCCAGAGGGAAGTGCCCCCAAAGCCGCGCACCAGAGGTCACTCTTGCCTGGGGTCTCACTCCTGCGTGCAGTCGAAACATGGCCCCTGGACCTCGCAGTACGACGATGACGTGGCCTCGGTGAGGTCCCCGTCTTCGCACGGGGGCTGCTTTAGGCAGGGGGCAGCGCGAGACGTCTGCAGAGGAGAAAGGCCCCCCCATCCCCGAAGTTTTCCTGGCCCTCCCACATTCGGGCGCCTCTTAAAGGGTCAGGGGGAGGAAGGGGAGGAGGCGGAGGAGGAGGGGGGGATGAGGAGGAGGAGGGAGGAGGGGAGGTCAGGGATGAGGATGAGGAGTGAGGAATGAGGAGGGGGAGGAGGGTAGAGGAGGAGGGAGGAAGGAGGAGGAGGCAGGAAGGAGAGGAGGAGGAGGAGGAGGGGCCCTCCTGTGCCTGCTCCTCCCTACTGCTCGTGGCGCCCGCGGCCGCCAGGATGCGCACGGAGGGCCTCGTGCGCCTGGAGGGCCAGCGCACCTGACGCGGGCCCGCCGTGGGCCCGTCGAGGCGCAGGCCGCTCGCGCACGGGCGCTGCAAGACGCCGCGCCAGGAGGATAGGAGAGGAGGAGGTGAGGAGGAGGAGGAGGAGGAGGAGAGGAGGAGAAGGAGTGAAGGAGGAGGAGGGGAGGAGGAGAGGAGGAGGAGGGGAGGAGGAGCAGGGATAGGGGAGCGGAGGAGGAAAGGAGGAGGAGGAGGAGGAGGAGGAGGAGGAGCCCCAGCCGCCATTCGGGTGTGGTGCGGGCCTGCCGCGTGGCCAGACCCCCTCGGGCAACGACAAAGTCAGAGCGGGATGCTTTCCGTACTCTCGGCCTCGGGAAGCCTTTCCTGGCCCTCGGGGCCGTCAAGCAGCGCTTCGGGCTATAAAAGACCGGTCCAGGGCAATGGGCCTGTTTTCCACGACCACCACTATCAGTTGGAGGGGGGAAGGAGGCGGAGGACTAGGAGGAGGAGGGCGAAGGGGAGGAGGAGGAGGAGGAGGAGGAGGAGGTGGAGGAGGAGGAGGAGGAGGAGGAGGAGGAGGACCCCTCCCGCTCCGACTTATGGTGGTGGTGGTGGTGGTGGAAAGCAGCCATCCTCCAGGGGAGTGGGTCGAGGCCTCTGAGGGTCGAGGCCTCTGAGGGTCGGCGTCGGGGGTCTGGGTGGCAGGACCTCCACGGCGTTGCAACCCCATGGAACTGTGCTCCGGGCCTCCGTCCTGACTCGGTGTCGGAGCAGATGGGGTCGGAGGAGGGCGCCGCATCACCGATGTAATTACGGACGATGCGGCTCGACGTGGAGCCCCAGTTTCTCCACCTCGACGCCGCCGATGCACCGTCGATCCGTCGCCGGTGCTTCGCCACTGCATCGCCGATGCGGCGCGATCCTCCGACCACATCTACTCGGACCCCACTTCGAAGGCCTTCGTGGCAGCGCTTGCCTGCAGAAATGCCTGTGAAGCCTCCGTCCCACGGAGCGGCGCCCTCGCCTTCGCGCTGGCCGTACCACCGCAGCATCACAAGCGGGGTTCCCACCTCACCGTGCGCTACGCTTCTGGAGAATATTGTCCTCGTGGAATCCATCGGGATTCGAGATTGCGAGTCGACGGGGGCTTCATCTCGTCGGAATTGATGGGGGGGGTCTGATGTCAAACATGGCGCGAGCGCGCCAGTCTTCTCCCATCTCGCCCTCCTTCCTCCCTCACGAGCTCCCACCCGCGTGCACCCCCCCTGTTTTTTTTTGTTGGGTTGCCCGAGCAGTCCTCGCGGCCATGCTTGGTGAATCTATCATCTGGTGTGGTGTGGTCTGATCACGACGAAAACTGCCTGGTTGATATATAAATATAACTTTATATATCTATATCCTCTGGTGTGATGTGGTCTGATGACAGCGAAAACTGCCAGGACACCAGGTTCAGTCGGCTTGGTTCCTGGGTTTTGTCTGGTAGCCCTGAGCCGGTTCCCCAATGAAGCGACGAACGAAAACGGGGTCGATTGCGCCGACATTCGCACGTACGCTTCACGCGCGAGGTCGCGCGCAAGCGCCACCTTGTCCACGCGGTGTGCCAAGCTGGCGGCGCGCGTAAGCCGCGGCGTAAGGTCGCTATCTCTTCTTGCGAAAGTCCGCCACAACAATATACACACAGCCACCCTCCAATGGATTGTTCCTTGGCCTCAGGGGAGGGCGGCGGTGCAGACATCACCATGGAAAGCCGGCGACTTTCCGCACCGCCGCCCTCCCTGCAGGTACACGCCACAGACGTCGGAGGACGCCTGCGTGCGCAGATCTCTCTCCGTGGCCTGGAAGGACGCCCACTCGGCCGCACGCGCAGCACGGGATTGGGACTCGGGCTGGAGGCGCGGGGCAGCGCAGCGTGGAATTGATTCAACCGCGCGCGGCCCGCGGCCGCCGCGCGGTGTGCATGGCGCGCTGCCCCCGGCTCCGCCGCGGCGGCTCCGCGAGCGGCGCGGGCGGCTCCGCCAGCGGCGGGCGGTGCCTCGAACATGGCGCCCCGCTCGGAGAGGTGGTATCGCCCAGGACGTCGAGTCGCCAGGAGGGGAAAACACACACAGACACAATTCATCGTCGATTCCGAGGAAAAGATGGGGAAGTGTGGGACTTGGGCGGGAAGACAAGAACCCAGAAGATATGGGAACATATGGGGAAGCTTTCTATGTGTTTGTGTATCTATTTGTGTGTCCTGGGGCCCCTTCAGTCGGGCCGACGGGCCCCCAGTGTTTCGAGCCACTCTATTCAGGCCGTGTTGGACCGTGTCGTCTGGATCCCGTGGCCCGCGGGTGCGCCACCAGGGCGGCGGGCCGGCCTGGCGGAGCCCATGGGATTGTTGACGGTCCTGGTCCAGGCAGCCTCTGTGCGGCTGGAGGCCCGTCGGCCTTCGCAAGCCCCCGCCGGGATGGGGGCGAACGCTTTCTCCAAGTCCGGCTGCGTCGCAGTCGGCTGCGTTCGGTCGTTTTTGATCGGTTGGTCGCTGCGTCGCTGCCATTTCTTGTTCGGCCTTCGGCTTTGCGATCGCGGTGTGCGTCTGTGCACTGGGCCCCCAGGCCCTTCCCTCCCCAGGACCTCGCCTCCTCTCCATTGCCATCCTTCTCTTTCCCTCTCCCCTCCCCCAGGGGCGGCGCCGGGTATCCGCATTGCACCGATCTCATCAAGGCGTATCTGGGCCCGTTGTTGTAGGTGAACAGTGGGCGTCCTCTTGCAGTTCTTTTCCACTCGCCTCGCTCTTTTCGTTTCGTTTTGTTCGAGGTTATGTCGCAGCCCTGTTCTTCCCCCCGCGCATCTTCTCCGAGCCCTTGTTTTTTTGCGGGGCGTCCAGTTGAGCAGAGGAGGGGTGGACATCTAAAAGGAAGAAAGCCTTTTCGTCGGAGGGGGGGCAGCAATTGGAGAAATGGATGCATGGGCGGGGGGTGGGGGGATGGCGAGATAGGAGAGTGAATGAGGCACAGTGCGCTACTCGCCTGTGAACCGTTGCGCCAGCTCGTTGTTCGGGACTGCTTCGACCATTCCTTGGCCGATCGGCGAGTCGTATTGAAGTCATGTCCGTCCCTGTGGGCACGCGTTGCAGCGATAGTCGTTCCCTCCACCGTCACTGCATGCATGTAGGCCGAAGTCGGGCATGCCCCTCTACAGCCGGAATGTTGAAGAATAGTCAGTCAGGAGTCAGAAGACTACTCTGGTGACGATCTTCGCCGTGCTCTTCTGACTAGTTTTGTGGATGTTCTGACTATGTTTAACTATTCTTCCAACATCCGCCTGTCGGAGGACATGCCCGACCTAAAGTTTGGCGCTTCGGGCAGCGCGTGAGCTGCTTCGGGCACGACCTCCCCACGAGGGCCAGGATGACTATATGTGTGTATATCTTTGCTAACTATGTTTAACTCTTCTTCCAACATCCGCCTGCAGGAGGACATGCCCGACCCAAATTTGGGCGCCTCGGGCAGCGCGTGCGCTGCTTCGGGCACGACCTCCCCGCGAGGGCCATAGGACGGCCCATTGAGCGATCCTGGCAGAAGGGGCCGCGCGCCCAGACCTCTGACGCTGTGGTGCTACCACATCTCAGGAGGGAACAAAAAACACACAGACACAAGTAATCGTCGATTCCCCAGAAAATGCAGGAAACTATGGGAAGTGTGGGGGAAGACAACAACCCAGAAAATATGGGAAGTATGGGGAGTCCTTTTATTTGCGTGTATTCGTTTGTGTGTCCCGGGGCCCCTTCAACAGCGTGGACCCCCCGAGCTGTGGGCCCCTCCCCTCGCCACAGACAGACGTACCACCACCACCTGCCAGGGGCGGGTGGCTTCCCCACCCTCTCGAGCTGGTTGCACCTCGCTCCGGGCATGCCTCCGGAGTGTGCCAGAGAAGGAGGTGCCAGCAGCTCGAGGGGAGCGAGCGGCCACCCCCCTGGCTGGTGGTAGTGTTTTTTTTTTGTCTCTCCTGGTTCCCTGGGGTCAGTGCTT